CCCCCCCCCGCTTCTGGGAGGTGGTGGCAGTGTGGGTGGGGTTTGGGGTTAGGATTAGCAAGTTCCCCTCCCTCCGCCCCCACATCATTCTTGATGGGCAATTTGCTAGTTTCTTTTATAAAAGGAGGGTCAGAATTTAACTATGGGATTTCTGGCTGGGAGAGCTCCAGATTCTTAAACGAATGAACTGCCAATTGTAAGTACATAAAGGATGTGGGAAGATAGCTTTCCACCCTTTTTTACTTACCAAAACTATAGTCTGCATCTGTTTGGTTCTACCCAAATAATTGCTTGAGTGCTAGACAATGCCATGAGGTTAGATGTACTATTGCTCATAAGTTCAAATGGTGAAGAGGAGCAAATATAACTTAGCATAGTGCCCTTCGCTCAGGCCCTAAGAGTAATATCAGAGCCTATGAATTTTATCTAAAAGGAACATAGAAGGTGGATGACAAACAAAAGAGAGAGAACATAAAGAACGCCAACCAATAGACCCAGACTGCCAAATAGGATCGAAATATTCATAGGCTTTCAGCCCAGATGTACTTGGATTATTCATAGTTTGGTTAGATGGTAGTTTACAATGTGACATGTTATGCCAATATGGAGTATGTAATGGCTGCCATCAAGCAAGCCTTTGAATCCTAATGACATCTTAGACTTGTTTAAAGTCATTAGACTTGCTGAGCAGTCATCTTGCAGGCTCAGTGGAAGGAGCAGTTACGTCCTTTTGTAAAGGAAGGTAGCTACAGGCGACAGAAGCTACTGCCCTGGGACTGACTGCAAACGTAGGACAGTAGAGCAGGAGTCAGCAACCCCTGGCACGTGTGCCGAGCATGGCACGCAAAGCTGTTTTGCTTGGCACACCACCACCAGCCCCGGCTCTAAGCAGCTGCTGCCAGCCACAGAGCCCAGGCTGCTCCCAGCAGGTGGCTGGGAGGCTGCAAGCCCTGCTGCAAGCAGACTGGGATCTGTGGGCCGGCTGCAGCCGGGAGGCTGCAAACAGCTGCTCCGGGCTCTGGCATGTCAGCACTCCCGCACCTTCCAAAATAGACACTGTGGTTTTTTCGGCACTCCAGCCAAAAAACGTTGCCTACCCCTGCACTAGAGGATTCTTTGGCAAGTGGTGCCAGCCACCAATGAACCAATGAGAGGCGCAGTCATGTGAGAGACAACAGAGGGACAGAGTTCCTTTGGAGAAAGGACTTCTAGAACGGTAGGCTTGACAACTGTGAGCTCTTCTTATTTCCCTGAATGCACGGTAGAAACCAACAGGACTTTGTGGATATTTTATGTAAATAAACGAGACTGCACTGGAGAACGCTTTTATGCATGTTGCCAGTTTTTGTTCCAACACACATAATATGAGAGAGCCACAAATACTGCCAATTGCTTAGGCCACTGGAGCATTAGTAAGACTAGTTTTACATGTGAAAAAATCTTTAATTTTATCACTGTTTTTTTTTTTTGTTTTACAGGTATCTCTGATGAATACATAACCCCCATGTTTAATTTTTATAAAAGTGTCGGAGAGCTGAAGATGACACAAGAGGAGTATGCTCTACTCACAGCAATAGTTATTCTGTCACCAGGTAATTTATAGTTCCAAAGTAAATATTTGACAGTAATTTGAGAAGAGTGAATAAAGCACCAGACAAATGGCAGATGTGTAAATCACTGGTGCTGTACATATAGGGAGTCATCAGTATCACATACCTATAGCAGCTAAATAAAAATGAACATCTCAGTTGTCATCAGAGAGGGCTTTTCTCCTTTAAATATGGAAAATTCTGCTTGTTGTTAATATGAGTAACAAGTCTGTTGCAGCATTCCACTGTGTGAGTGGAACATCAGAACTTCAAAAGGAAACTTCTCTCTCAAGTATATTTGAATAAAGAATCAATAATGAAGGGGTTAAGACTTACGGAACAAATACCAGCTGGCATATCAGAAGCACATGCTAGAAAACCTGTGGACAACAGCAGCAAGAGGAAAGGTGGCAGGCAGCCCTTGACAAGTTTTGATATGTACTTGACGTTGTGATGCCCCATGTATTTCCTTATTTACCTTTGTTAGCCAAGCTCCCTGGCTTGTCTACATGTTTTAGACTGGGGTAGGCAATCCCCAGCACAGGTGCCAGAGTATGGTACATGAAGGCATTTTGCTTGGGGCACGCACCGTGGGATGGATGGTGGGGAAGGGACTGGAGCTCTGCTGTCGCAACAAGGATCGGACCCCTCGTAGCTCCCCTGCCTTTTGCCCCTGGCACGCCAATATCTTATAAGTTGAGGTTGCAGGTGTTTTTGGCACTCTGCCCCAAAATGTTGCCAACCTGTTTTAGACACATCACTGATTCTGGTGGTAAGATATTACGGTGGATGGTGGTCCTGCTGTAGAGCCAGACCCAGGGGTGTAGTAATGCAGCTCCGTGCCTGGTTCCTGCCATGCCAGTTGCTGCAGTGTGATTAGCTATTGCAGCAGCAATAGCTGTTTTGGGGCTTCCCCAACAAAAGGGGTGCCCAAGCTGCTGCCCCCCCTTCCCATTTATGCTATTGGCCAGCTCCTAGAGGGGAACAGGGGTATAAGGCATCTGAATTTCAGCTCCCAGGACATATGGTGATAACTTTTCCGAATAGGATTTTTAAAATTTTGAAACAGTTAAAAATTTCTACAAACAGCAGATACTTTTCACAAAGAAGTGTGTTTTTAGTCATAAACCCAATTTTACATTAAAAATATTTGATGGAAAATTTTGAGTAGTTTTACTTGTGGCTTTGTGCAGGCCCTCTATGTTTCAGTCAATTTTATTTTAAACAAGAAAAAGCTGAGAAATTCTATTTCTTGATTATTTCTTTGGATGTGTTTTCTTGTAACCAAAATATCCAACAAACCTCTCACCTGATCACCCTGACAAGCCGAAGGCACCAGCTGCTGGCATGGAAAATTTTTTTCCAATTTTTTTTTTTTGTGTGCTAAAGTTATAATTGGTTGAAATAAGGAGTTTATACAAAAAAAAAAATCATTACAACACTGAGGGACTTTATTTTCCAACATTCTCTGTGGTAGGTTTGAATATCGTTGTATACAGCGAATATCTTTGCAATTCTATAGTGTTGTCTGTAGTCCGTCTTTTTCTCATAAATAATTAAAAGAAATATTTGCAATATATCAAAATTCATGCTGGCTAACTTTCTTTCCTTATTATTTTAAAAACAAAACCAGATCGACAATATATAAAGGAGAGAGAGTCTGTGGAAAGGCTTCAAGAACCACTGCTTGATGTTCTACAGAAACTTTGCAAACTTCACCATCCAGATAACCCTCAACATTTTGCGTGTCTTTTGGGTCGCCTTACAGAACTACGGACATTTAACCATCATCATGCCGAGATGCTGATGTCATGGAGAGTGAATGATCATAAATTCACACCCCTTCTCTGTGAAATTTGGGATGTTCAGTGATGAATGTTTTCATTTTGGGATTAACAACTTTTTAAAGGACCAAACTGTATTCATTTTCACTGCAATATTCATTAGTTATTTCTTTAAAATTTCTTTATTGAAGTTTTTACAGAAACACACCAAAGAAATTTTGTTCATTATGTACTGAATATTATGTAACTATCAGTCTTTCATATGTTAATATAAAGTATATTTTCCTGTATTTATATACAGATCGGAAAGAATGTTTCAGCATCACTTAGGTGTCATATTAACTCCTTCTGAAATTAAACTGATTGTATTTTTAACTCCTTTTTTAAAGTGGGACAATGCAGGTTTTATATTTGTTCTTTGCAATGCTCTTATACTTCCCCTTTTGTTAAAGGATATTTTTCAAATATTAACTATAATAAATAATGAAAATGATGGATGCTACAACAGTCTCCTTTTTTTGAACATGCACAAGCTCTTATTACCTCAAATAGTAAAAAACCATGCTGTTCTGCTAAAGGTAAGAAGCCTCAAAACAGTCTATACCATTACTTTTTGCGTGTCATAAATATGGAGCTTCTTGTTTTGTTTGCATTATCAATATTTATAAGTAAAAAATAGATAATGTGTTCTTCGTGGAATGCTATCATAAGTTTACCTTCCTATACATTATATTGCATTACAGACTTATGTTACTTACTGGTACTATCTCAACAGTGGTGTCTTAAAAAAAAAATCTTAGTTTACATTTGGGTGCATTACCGACTCCATTAGCCACTAGTATCATCTCATTAGGATGTCATAAAAATAAGCATGGCTAGGTACTGACATTCAAAAAGCCCAAGATGGAATCGATATAAATTATGTGGTTTTCTGTAAGCAGCATAGGTTAGATTGGTAGTGAACAGAACACACATTTGCCCTTTGGAGGGGGAGCAAATCTTAGACTGGGTTCTGTCATTTTTAAACCAGTCTGTGGGCACATCTACATGAGTGCTTTAATGTGCAGTAGCCTATTTTACTGCGCATTAGAACATCACAGCAATAACTGTGCTAATAAGTTAATGCACAGTAAAATTAGGGACTGTGCATTGTCACTAAGAAAAGTGTGCTTTTGCTGCTGAACATTAGGGAAGCCTAACAAACATTTAGTTTGTACCTCACATTACAGGGCACTTTTACATGTGCTCTAGAGGTGCTGGGATAGTGCTTTAATTAGCTCGGCTCCAAGAGCCTCCACGTCTCATGTATCAACGTCCCCATGCTTAAAAATGGTGGTGGGGCCTCTTGAACTAAAGCTTGTTCATTGAGCTTTAGATCAAGCACCCCCTCTGCCATCTTTAAATGTGGGGATGCTGATAAATGAGAGGCAGGAGGCTACTATAGCTCCAGCAGACTCCATTCATTGAGTCTGCTCTGACATGCTTTAATTCTGCTCTGCACTTGTGCGTAGGTGCCCAGTAGTGTTAATGCGCAGTAGCAAAAGTGTTTTAATGAACATGTAGATCAGAGACAGGTGATTATTTCGGGCAGAGGGCTGCTCACTGAGCTTTGACAAGCCATCGAGCGCTGCGTGACAAACAGCCAGGGGCAGATAAATATTAATTTTCTAAATTTTTTAGGGGTCACATGGGCCAGACAGAATGGCCTGGCGAGCCGCATCTGGCCCGTGGGCTGCATTTTGCCCACCCCTGATGTAGATGCACTCTGTGCACCAAACTTCTGCTCTGTTATAGGTATAGACCAGTTTCTGATCACTTATACCAGTAAGTGTCTGGACCCTATAAGAGAACTGTTACCTATGAATCTTGACAATGACAGAGCAAATAAGGTACTAATTTTATATGGAAACTATGAGTCTGTCAGTTAAAGCAATTATCATCCTTCTCTCTGAAATCTGTTTACCTTCCAATATTACAACAAACACCCTCATTTATATTGTAAAGAGTTACACCATAAAATTGGTTATCCGGCATTCTACAAGGCAGTATACTTTACTAACTTGCACGCGGCAGCAGCTGCTGCCACCACCACTCTGTGCTGCCCCCGCCCCTCCAGCTCCATGCACAGCCACTGCCACCCCCCGTCCCCACTCCACATGATATGCCTCAGATAACCAGAATTTTTACATAACCGGCGCCCGGCATTCCCCACTCAGGCCAGATAACAGAGATTTTACTGTATTAAAAAAAAATGCATTTTTTCTTTTGTTTTCCAATTGGCATGTTTTGTGCATTTGGTGTACTTTCTACATGCTTAGTTTCATTGTTTTTTCCCTGTTTAGACCATTAAAAACATTCCCTTCTTATTTTAGCAGGTCGTCTTCATGCCAAATGGAAGAGAAAATATTTAAAAATAGGAACACTCAGTTAGAAAGCCATGAGTATTACCAAAGCGAAGCTCTGGGAAGGTGAAGCATCAGAAATTAATTTTAAATAACTTTAACTTACCAATTATAAAATTGATGGTATCACTTCGAAGTGTAGACTTTGATGTTACATGAGATGTGTATGGGCCAATGCCTGTACCTTTGTGGAGCACCACTGATTTGGATGTTTTGTGCAGGGACAGGGTTTTGCTTGTGTTACTCCTATTGCAGGATTGAGGCGTTAACAGTTTCCTAAGTAAACATTATTAGATCTAATGTCCTGGGTTTTCAAGAGAACAAGTCTACAATCCATGTTATAATTATGTGCATTCCTTTCCAGTATGGAACAGACTAGAAACAGGAAAGTCTGGTTTTACTTCAAGAACCAGACCTATTTCTACATGTAAAATAACTAGTGTGGCACAAAACCATTGTCAAACTGGATAAGAGTTGATCTTTTATTGGAGCAGATCATTTATAACTCTCAAAATTCTTTTATCACCAGTGCTTCGTGTAACAATAGAAACACAATTATCTTCTGTCTTCTGCCCATCCTTTCCCATCACTCATTTTAGAAGTGATTTTTAGTTATTTCTTTTAGATCCTATGTCCCTAACAGCAAATATTGCTTCATATACTCTGAGACCCCAATCCAGGAGATTTATGCATGTGATGAACATACTTCTTTGCAGGATAGGAGCCTGTGATTATTCTTAAAATCTCCCATGTTTTCACAGGAGCATTGCTTCTTGAGTGGTAGCATTACTGGGCATATCTTATTGTGTAATCTACATTTGCTACTGAGCAGTGGTAATAGTGGACACATCGGTGTCCTGTCTATAGTGTAGCACTTTTACCCTAGGGAACCTGCATTAGGCAGAGAGTAAAGGTACCTTTATGTAGAAACAGCCTATGATTGATCTTTACTACAGTTAATCAGAAGGTAAGGGAGTAAGTCCCTTTCAATATAAATAGCTGAGTGGACAGGTGTTTCCCCTAATTACTGTGTATATGGTATCCTGCTTGAAGAAGAAATGACAAGGTCATTTGTACTTGCTGTAGGGAATAGGCCTTACTTTTAAGGACAATTCGTGCTGTTATGGTTACAGGGGTGTTCAACCTATAGCCTGGGGTCCAAATATGCCTGTGGAGCCATGACATCTTGCTGGGATCCTTTGACCCTAGCTGACTTCCTGCCCCGGGGGAAGGGTGGGGGGTGCTGGACTCGATGATCTTCTGAGGTTCCCTCCAACCCTAATGTCTATGAAATCTATGACATCCAGTCTGCAGGGATCCCCGTGGGTCTGGAAATTTGGCAGCAGGGAGCTGTAGAAACTTTGCACATCTGGATCCTGCCCTGACTGGGCTGTTGCCCATGCAGCATGATCAGGGCCAGGCTGCCTGCTAAGCATCCAGATCCAGCTGGGATGTTCTCCCCATCCCTCGCCCCCTCCCATGCATCTGGATCATGGCCACTGCACCCCCTTCTCCCCCTGCCCTCCGCATGTCTGGATCGAGACCCAGGCTGCTTCTCCATCCTGGGAGCATGGATAAGGGTTCAGCTTCACAACCCCCAAGCTGGATCAGGCCCACTGGCTGGATCCAGCCTGAAGAAGGACCTGGCACTGCCAATCCAGCCCACAAAGTGAAAAAGTTGGGTGCCACTGGTTACGAACATTAAAGCTACTGTTCTTTTGTATATACTAGGTGTGCCACTAGTGGAAAAGAGTCTTGTGTCACCCCCATCCCCTTGGAGGCACCCACTAGTTGGCTACAATGGTTTTCAAGTAGCACAGTTCTGGGGTCACAGCATAAACCTGGGAATACAAAAAAGCAGTGTTCTGCTCTTTGCTCAGTTACAATCGTTGTGGATGACTATGATCAACTCCATTAAATCTTGGTTCCATATGGGGTTTAAAAATTATCTAGTAGTGGTGACTACTCATATAGGGGTGGCCAACCTGCAGCACACATGGCACAAGTGACATAGGCAACCTTGTGTATGTCACATGACAGATTGGGGGTGGGCAGGGAACAAGCAGCGCAGTAGCAGATAGGGAAGGAAGCAGAAAGCAGAGCAGCAGACTGGGTAGAGGAAGAAGGTTAGACTGGCACTTGAGGCTGGTGCTGGGTTATTCTGTGGTACACCTGCCAAAAACATTGCCTCCACTGCACTCATATGCTAAATGCACTTTAGTTCTCTTTTCTGTTCAGTTGTAACAAAGATGCAAACCAAGATTAGGGGGCACAGAAGGCAGAATATAGGGCAAGATCCTCACCTGCCTTTCAGTGCCTAGAGGCAGCATCACATCCAGCAATACCTTTCCCATCCCACAGTGGGGACCAACTGCCCAGGTACTTCCATTCCAGGGTGTGCATTTACACGTTCATTAATGTGCTGTAGTTGCTGCGCATCTTTTAGTATTTGTATAACCAAGTAAATCAATGCACAGTAACTGGCGCTATTGCGCAGTAGCGCCAGCACACAGCTTGTTAGTGATGCTAAGTGCGCAGTAGCCTAATACTACTGTGCAGCGGTGTATTACCATGATTTTTGCCCTGCCTGCTACTGCACAGCAGTACTAGGCTACTGTGCAGTTAGCATCTTGTGTAGAGGCCCTCAAGGTGACCACAACTCTGCAGTGAGACCCCTGTATGCAGCAGCTAGCGACTCAGGAGTTTAGTAACTGGGAGGATGCAGAATAACCCCCCAGTCAGGATCTCCTGTGCCTCTCCCATCTACTAGACTTACTTCATGCTGCCTTAGGGCTTTTCAAGGGTCACTGCTGAATGTGGAAGCCTCGCAGGCTATGGCCTTGGCAGGGGGAGGCCAGCTGTGCAGGGGGCAGTGGGGGGCACCCTGCAGGTGGGAACATTGAGGAGGCAATTGGGATTGTTGCTAGGCGTTGGCTGGACTTTCGAAGGACTGGAGTAAGGAATACTCGAGTATCCAGGTTGTAGCCATACTGGTCTAGAGCAGGGGCTCTCAAACTGGGGGGAGGCCACGAGCAATTTCAAAGGGGGTCACAAACCTGCATGCCATCGGCGCTTCTGCTGCCGCGTGCCGCATACCATGCAGGCCTCCCCTCAGTGATCGGCTGCCGGAGGCTCGCGGTATCGCAAACTTGGAGAACCCCTGGTCTAGAGGCAAAAGGAATCACAACTCCTGGGAGAGGTGGTATCTTTTATACTCAAGGCACAGGAAAGCAGGGCCGGAAGGGGCTCATCTATGCAGGCCAGGAATCCCTCAGATTGCAAAGAACAATTCTTCCAACTATTCCAACTCTTCGCCTCTGCCCGAAGACCCTTGTCTGCCTGCGCCCTTAGAGCAGTGCTGCGCCGCGCCGCAGCCCCCCAAGAGCTAGGGGTGCCAGCTCTGTTGGAACCTATATGGGTTTCATCACGCGATGTCACGACATGAATGCCTTTAGGTCAGGCAGGCCAATGCACACAGGACTGCCGCTTTCTAAACCCCCGCGGGACAACTGCATCCATCAGGTTCACCCGCGAATACCGACTCGAAGGCACGCCCGGTCACTGATCTCCCGGGTGGCTCCCCGCAGCCTCCCGGAGAAGTCTCTCATTCCCGGGCAGGCCCACCTGCCCTCACCAGCGCGCTGTGCCCCAGCGGCTGCGCGGGCGGAGGTTCCCAGGCGCACCTGGCGCTGCCCCGCTGCTGCAATCAGGGCCGGCGAGTGGGCTGCAGCCGGCCCCACCCCGCCC